AAAAGAAACTCAGGAGAACCAAGAGAACCTTGATGGTTGTTGCTCCAGGAGGAAGCGATCTTTGAGGCTGAGTGACCTCAGGGTCACCTGAGGGGTGAACGTGAGGGGTACTTTGAGGATGGGTCCCAAAAAGGCATCACACATGGAAGCTCTAGCTTCGTTTTGTTTTGTCTGAAAGCGAGCGTATACCAGGAGACCTTGATTTCATACTCAGTAACCCTTGGCTGGGGAAATTTGCTTTAAAAAAGGTTCCCCAATGCTTATCTTCAGTTGGTATTTTACTTATCTGACCCCATGAAATTTCACCTGCTAGAACCTAATTCAGCAACTGCTGCTTCTGATGAAGAAAGAAAAAAGATATTGTCCTCAAATCAGGTGATTCATTTCTCTCCTTCTGGCCAATCTTCCTCCCTCCATTCCCTTATATTCCACTTCTCTCTTTGTAAGTGACCTTCTTTTTTACAATCAGCCAGGTAACTGTAGAGCAAACATTTTCAGATAGGGTAGATGACATGCCAAAAGTGTTCTGAAACGAACTTGCCAGATGGTGGTTGCTAGCATATGGCTCCTGCTTGAACCAGGCACAGCTTGCCAAATTCAATTTTTTAAATTATGTCTCACTTTAAAAAAAAAATCCCCCCAAAACATAAGAGGCCAGTTTCCTCAGCCAAACTTTGAAATGAGGTAGGTAGAGTGAGGATGGTGTCATTGGAAATAACAGGAGGTGGAGTGTCAAATACCAAATAGGCTTATGGAAGGAATGTACTTGGGTTCCAGATTGCAGCTTTCTCTCTGTCCTAGAAGCTCTGGAGGGACATGTTGACCCCATCTAATTGCTTGTCTTCCAGAGTTTCTCTTTGCAAGGATATAGAAAGGATAGAAAGATAAAATAAACTTAAAACTCCTTGATTCAAATGGTACATCAGTAAACTTAAAAGTCTCTTTACATGGTTGCAAACATTTTGTAGTTCTGCGGTATATTTTTTTTGCCACCTAACGTCCATAAAAATGTCCCCAAAGAATATGTGCCTATTAATTGCCATGATCCACGACAAAAACAATAATATCCTATGAAATGACATCATTTCAATTATTTCATGGTGGTGCAGGTGTTTGCTAAAGAGAAAGTGTTCATTAGACATAAATTAGTAAACAAGCATGATATTGGCTCCAATATTCCGAGAAGTGAGAATAATGAAAAACTACTTAATGTTCTCAAAAGAAATCTGCTATTTTGAGAAGCCTATATTCCTGAATGTATTAAGCTGCATTATACCTGTGTAATTATGTGGATATTTTTCTGTTCATCACTGGAACCTTAATTTTCTGATCCAAACACTGCCAGTTACATGGTAATTAATCTTTGAACTTTTTGATGACTTCAAGTATTATTAAGCAGTAATCTGCAGAACCATTTCATTACAAGGTAATAATTAGTTTTATATGCAATTCCCTAGCACTTTTCAGCTAAGAATTTCAAAATGGCTTATAGATCAAGATGAAGATGTTGGGGTTTCATTTCCTCGTCCAAAGTCAACAAAAAATAGAAGTGAAGGTCAGAGTACTTATTCCATTTCCGCAACTGCCTGGAGCCTGCAGGATTCCCCTAGAGCAAGAATTCTAGAATTTAGCCAATTGAATCACAACATTGGAGGCCATTTTTTTTTTTTTAACTCTGATGAGCTACTCTGAAAAGAAGAAAGAGTATTAAGAAATCAGTGTTTGTAGATGACTGAGTACATGAGTTATCATGATTTAGAGAAGACAGTGTTACTTTTTGTGCCAATACTTAAGTCTAGATTAATCTCTTAATACCCACCCCTTTTGCCTACCCTTCAGACTGGTCATTTCTATGTGCTCATACATTTTTTAAAAAGATTTTATTTATTTATTTGAGAGAGAGAAAGAGAGAAAGCATGAGCAGGTGGAGGGGCAGAGGGAGCAGCAGACTCCCCACTGAGCAGGGAGCACGACACCCTAACATGACACCCTAACACGGGCTTGATCCCAGGACCCCAGGATCATGACCTGAGTCGAAGGAAGATACTTAACCGACTGAGCCACTCAGGTGTCCCAGTGCTCATGCATTTTTGAAGATATCAGAGATAGGTTTATTTAATATGGGGGCGGGCTGTCTAAGGACTTCTGCCCATAGTAAGAGGCCCTTGAAAGTTCTAATTACATTCAGATGCAAACAAAAGGGATCAGGGATGACATTCAAACCAGATAGAACTCTGAATCGACAGCCTGGCTACTATCCAGAGGCTGAGTGCTAGTAAAACACTGCAGTATAAAAGAAAGATGTTCCTAAAAGCAAGACTTGCTTTGGGTAAATATGTATTTATTTAACTTTTGCTCAGGGTCCCAAACAAAGATTGCCAAGCGAATGAGCTTCTTCCCCAACTCCTCATAATTCCTCAAAGTCTCCCTGTTCAAGGAGTTTCACTTAAAACAATAATAATAAAAAGAATAAACAACAAGCAAGAACCACCAACAACAACCACCGAATATCTCCTACCTGTTGTTTCATCCAATTCCCCAATAAGTAGGAGATCCTAAGCTCCTCAACCCGGTGATCTAAGGGCATACCTTGGATATCTAGACATACTACCTACCATATATGTGGTGTAAACAGGACAAGTTAAGTTGTCTACCCTACAGTTTTCCAAAGGCTAAACTGGATAAATAACATTTATCTCATATGGTTGTTATGGGACTAAAGTATGGCATGCAAAAAGTCTAACTTCTTTTAGTTAGTTGGTAACCAATCTTAGTTACAAAGGAAAGCAGGAGCCTCTTGATTCAAATTTCTACGAATGTCCAGGGATTGAAAATACTCCTGGGATAAAAAAAAAGGCTGTTTCAGCCTCCCAGGGAATTTGTTTATGCATTCTTTAAAATGAAATTGTGGTTTTACAGACATTATAGATGGATTCACTGAACTCTCTTCCAATGCCCTCGTGGCACGCATTCCGGTTTACTAAAATGTTGGTAAGCAAAAGTCTAAATTTCCCAGCCTCCCTTGCAGTCAGGCTTCCTGGGGTATTCTGTCTGCCACCAAGCCAACACTCTTACTCAGGACTTTGAAGGCAGAAGGAGTTATGGTGAGGCAGTGGCGATCTGGCCCTTTAAGCAAGTGTGTGGTTGAGGGCATTGTTGTTAGGAGGAGTTTGATTTTGTGGTTGGCAGTCTAATGGCTACTGAAGGAATGTAGTGACGGCCCCAGGATTTCAGTTGGAACATTTGCACTGAGTGGCTGGACATTTCTCCTGGCTGCATTGCTTATGGCTGAGTAGCACCCAAGCTTAGTTACGTGAATCTCCAAGAAATTCTATGTAATAGCAATTGCCTCTAATGGAATCTCCTTCTGCTTAAACAAAAACTTTGACTGATATATTAGCAGAATATAATTTGATAACAAGGTCATATCCAAAAAAGAAGCTTTGCCTCACATCCAATGGGCCACCTTCTTTCCATTACAGGTTGGTCCAGATTTTGTCCTGATCCATCTTGCTGATGATCTGTCCCATCCCTCTGCTTAAATATGATGGGAAGCTTGTCACATCTCTTAAAATGCATCTGTACTCGTGTATGTGTGTGTGTGTGTTCCCTGCAGACACTCTGCCACAGAAGTATTTAAACAGGGCCTCTATGTCCTGACCCATCTCAATTGTGATTAGTTGGAAGGCTCACGCCGTAACATGAGATGGTGGAGCCAAAGGAGAGATCAATAGGGAGGGAGCTATCAGCAATTAGCAACTGCCTGGTGCATTTTTTATTCATCAGAGTGGGCAGGTTGAGATGCCTACAGGATAACAGGTCTCTTGCATGAGAAAGACAAATGAGGAAAAGAAAGAAGAGACAGTTCTGCTACTTTTTTGAAATGACTCTGCTTTTCCATTCTATTCATAAAGCTTCAAGGCACCCAGCCTCCTGCGCGCCATGCATTGTGGGATGTACAAAACAACCTGCCAGCCCACTGATAGTAAGAGCTGGTGTGTGAGGACCTCCAACATGCCAGTGTCACCGAGGCCTTTACCATGTGGCAATGCAGTCTTTGGGGAGTCATCCAGAAAATATCACTTAATGAGACCTGCTATGTATCAGGCCCTTGGCCAGGCACCTGGCAATCCTGTAAGGTAAGGTTATTATGTGTACTTCACGGATGAAGAAATTCAGAGTAGCTGAGTGACTTCCCTACAAGTGCACAGCCAGAACTTGGGATTTTCTGATTTCCAGAGTCCGTGTTCTATATCACTGCTTCTCAGGGAGTATCACAGCTAACTCAGCCCTGCACAATTCACTTTCATTGACACTGGGAGTTACACGTCAGAGTGAGAAAGCACTAGAGGGCCCTTCCCTCCTGAACCATAAAACAGGGTTCTAAAACCTCCCTCCGTATGGGGCCAAATAGTAAATATTTTAAGCTTTGTGGGTCATAGAGTCTCTGATGCAACTACTCAACTCAGCCTTGTAGCACAGGAGGACCTTAAGCAACTTGTAAATCAATGTGTGTGGCTATGTTCCAATAAAACTTTATTTACAAAACAAAAACAGTTAGAGGACTGGATTTTGCCCTTGAGCTCTAAAACCAAACAAAGCCTTTCAGTGTTATGTGAGCTGCTAAATGGCATGAACCAGAATGGCTTTAAAGCTCTGAAGCCATAGCTAAATTTTTGGTCATTTTTAAAGATTCTTGTCATGCCTTAGTTACGAGTTGCAGGTGGTCAGAGTCACTTTGGCCAGTGATACATGAGAGGCAAGCAATACTGTTTTCATCTTCAACCCCTGCCCTCAGTTGATGTCGAAGGATAGATTGAGACCACCTACTTCGGGTTTCGGAGAATTCACTAGTGAGCTTGTGGGGCTTAGAGGTGATCCTTTATGACAGACATGAAAGGACAGAGTGCATTACGTTCAAAGTCTGATGACATTTACTTTTCTTTTTTTTTTTTTTCATTTAATTCTTTATTATTCTTGGGACATTCTTTTTCCTTTGATAAAAAGAAGAGCAGTGACTACCGGTAGAAAATAAAGAGCCTTTCTATAAAATGCTATGAAAAGATATTTCAATTATTACTGAAAATGCCAATTCAGTTTAAAATATTCAAGAGAAGCCAGACAATAGTCTTCACAATCTTGAAGCAGACCCACTTCCCTCTGAACCAACGATCTGCTGTACCTCCCAGATAATCCTTCAGAAAAGTCTTTCCACATCTTAAACTGCATAGCTGAAAACACCAAGACATGGGTACAGAACGGGAATGTGAGTGGGCCCCCCCCGTTTCTGGTCTTGCTCCCCAGTTACTACAAAGCAGTCGCAGGACAAGGTGGGACAGGAAAAGCGATCCAGTGATGCCCGGGTGTCTGAGACCCAGAGCGGGACTTTCTCTCCCTCTGGCCTGAGGGTCAGTGGTCTAGTCAGACACAATGGAAGTAAAACTGAAAGGAATCTGAAGAAGAAATTTAAAAAATGAAACGTATGACTCAACATTTTTTACTTTTGGTGAAGTCGAATGGTTTCCACCACTGAGCAAACTGCAGGGCTTTCTTCCTCTGATCCTCAAAGCTTTCCCGGATCCCTTTCCTCCAGAGTCTTGGTTCTATATCCAGCATCCCACCAATGATTTCCTTTCCAAAGTAATGAGGGAATTTGTGTTGATATTCAATGACATGGGCAAACCCTCCTTGGAGGTCAAAATCCACAGCAAAGTAAGGTAAGCCTCTGGGTACAGATTTTCTGATATCTTTTGAAGAGAGATCAATCAATTTCTTGTTCATGGACCATTCTTCATCAGATTCCATTATGACTTTCTTAAAATAGATGGGAGCCATCTCACCCACTTCCTTTGGGAGAGGGATGCACTCATAAACCATATGACAATGCTTCTTCATGCCCGTGTGTGTTTCTAAAAAGATGCAGTCCAGTCCTTTATCTTCAAACATCTTTACCAATGATTTTTGGAACATCTGAATTTCCTCCCAGATGTCTTCATCCAGTAAGGTGGCCGCTCTGTGGTGCTGCAAAGGTACTATCAGGCAGTGCCCCTCAGTGAGAGATCGGAAGTTGGGTAAACATAAATAAACCTTAACACCTATGGCAACAATGAGGTGCTTGGGAAACTGAGAGCTGTCCAAACAATACAGACATCTTTCCATTTGTGCAGCCAGACTCTGGTGCTCGGCAATTGCTTTCCTCCACTGGTTCTCTTCCTCTTCACCAGAACATTCTTTCTCAGCTGCTTTGGAGACAAACAGGTCATCAAGAGTGTAATAGTCTCCATCTGTTTTTCCCATAAACTTAGATGCCATCCTCATAAAAAGTTTGTTTTGATTTTCTGCTGTCCCCATCTTTTCATTCTTAACTAAATCATTTAGGCTGAGATTATCATCATCATGAAAGTATCTAACCCTTTCTTTTTCTTCATGGGTTGAAGCCCCTGTTAAACACACCATCTGTCTCTTCCTTCTTCCTCCTTTACATTCCAGAGATTTTCCTGGTGTATGCACAGGCCACACTCTTCCAGACTGATCTGTTCTGACGAGGATCACTTCTTGGTCTTCATTCCCTACCCCAGATTCTTTTGAGGATATCTGTTCCTTTGAATTTATTTGCCTTTTCAAGTTGAGCTTTAAGTCATTCCGCTAATTCCATATTTCCCATCATCTCTGCCTTGATAATCCTGGCTCCCAGTTTATTCTTCTCATCAACACTCAAGATGTGGATGGAATCATCCTCAGGACCACCTCCGGCAAATGGAGACTTTGTGTCCTGTAGATGCTCTTTCTTCAGAGAGTCATCTCTCAGGCTTTCATCTTGTGATTTTTCTCTCACATCTTCTGAAATGTGCCCAGAGTCCACATCACCCCTAGTTTCTAATGATCTTCGATATGAACATTTCCTGTCTCCTTCTCTTCCGTTGGATCGGCTCCACGATGAAGAACTTTCTTCACTGTTTTCTGTGGGTTTTCGAAAACCATAACGCACAGAATCCTGAGCAACCAATGCTGAAGATGAACTAGAAGGTTCAAAATTTCTGCCCTTGCTACGAAATGACAGTTCTTCATCATCAGAGGGTCTTAAAAATTTAGGTTTCAAATTTCCAAGAGAAGAAAAGTCTTGATTTTGCCTTGGATTGGATTGTCTTCTACAGGTTTCTAAAGACCCAAACCTATTATATTTTTCATCACCACTAGACTTATCTTTATTGATGGTGTTTGTAGTATCTGTTGAACTGTATCTATCCCTTAAATTTTTATTATATTTTACCAAGTCTGATTTTCTACTTTCTTGACTACTTTGTGCTTTATCTGAGTATGCTGGTTTCCTCCACCGTTCTCATTTATAATCTTCTTTTGTGGATGCAGTTTTTTCAGCTTCTTCTAATTTTGACTGAAATACTTCCAATGACCCGTATCTTTCAGCCACAATGTCTTCAAAATTTCTATTCTGTTTCTCAGCTTGTTCCTTCATTCTTTGGTAAGACTTCCTCAACCAGCTTAAGCCACCATCTTCTACTACTGAAACTTTGGTAAGTGATGACACGTTACAGTCTTCTGACGGAAGATCTGTCCCACCATCTTTCCAGTATGGATTCAATTCTCTCTCCAGCAGTCTGGACTGTTCCAGGGCTTGGGTTTTCTCTTGCTCTATTTTCCTCATAGCCTCCTTCTCAGCTTTGGGTGATGATAAGGACACAGTTTTAACAGACATAAAATCAACCATCATCCACTCATCTCTCTGAATAACTGGGTTGTCTTCTCTTTCTGAATTTTCACCTTTCACTTTCCAGGCCTTTTCTCTGCCAGGAATCTGCGATGGGACAGCCTCAACCCACTTGTCTTCAGAGCTTGATGAACTATCTGTTGACTCATTGCTTTTTTCATACTTCTATTTCCTACTCTTTTTTTTCTTCTCTTTCTTTACTTTTTTTGAGTGTTTATCTTTTTTCTTCTTTTTCTTCAGAGAGTGTTCCTGTGAGAACTGTTCAATTCGTTCATTCACATCAGGTAGCATCCATGTATCCTCACCCCGAAGTCATTTAAGTTCTTTACACCTTTCTTCCTTTTCAAAATTGGCTTTAGCCTGGCACAACACCTCAGCCCTGGCAATCCTGGTCTGTTCTTTTTGTTCTTTGATACTCCTCTCATTTTCAAATCTACCACTGGTAGCCGCCATTGTTGTTGTTGTAAAACTGACATTTACTTTTCTGACAGACCAAATGGTCTGGTCCAGCAGTTGCTTTTTTGTATGACCTTGGGCAAATCATTTCATTCTTCTAAGCCTGAGTATGTGCATCTTGACTTGAAGGTAAGAAAACCAATGGGTGCCTCATAGGCTTGATGTAAAAATTGAGTTGTTGAACACATATGCATGGGCCTGAGTGAAAGTTAGACACATGACACTTCCATAAGAATGTGAAGCTGAAGGCCATTATCTTCAGCAAAGTAGTCTATTGCTTCCTTCCTGTATGCCAGCAAGCTTCCCTTTGGGCTGTAAGACCAAGAAGCAAGCAGGTTGCTTACCAGTCTGGTGCCTGTGTTGGGGGTGCATGGAGGGAGACAGTGCCCTTCTGATGGGAAGGAAGTTTGAGCTCCTGAACATCACACTGGAGCTCAATCTCCAACAAGCACTTGCAGAGTCATGCTCTCCAGCCCAGGTAATGGGAGCCCCGGGGAATGTTCAGGAAGCCTTTATTTCAAGGATGAGCATTTCTGAGTGCTCCACAAAATTCCAGTCCTGGTCCTAAAGCCCAGAAGATTTCATAAAAGATTGGCTGTCAGATATCACAACAGGGCTCAGCCAATCAACCTTCTTCCACACAACGATTTATCTTCCCCCCATTTCTCCTTCTTACCACCCAGGGATCCTGGCAAGAGCAGGTAGTCAATGGGAATTGATGATCTGACAATTAAAGCTGAAGATTCCAATTGTGGCTGAAGTGCCCGAGCTGGACCCTGCAGCTGTCAGAACTATGGAGACGAAATTTCAAATTTTGATAGCCATCTCCTCTAGCTGACCTTTAGCAGATGGCCCTCAGCACTAGGTCCTGAAGCTGATTAGCTGATTGTCCCTGGAGTTTGGAATCTACCATTTTTCCTCCTTTGGCAATTTTCTTGCTTTTTAGCAGATACTGGTCCCCAGGTGGCCCTCTAATTAGGAATGCTCTGTGATGTGATGACCCAGATTACCATGTCCACTTTGGGACTCTCTCTACAAAACTAGCTATTCAACTGTCTGTGCACAGCTCTGTATTCAGGATTGAAAGACTAGTGCTACCTCCTCTCATGTACACTGGGGATGAGCAAAATAGTTTCTGCTACATGGAAAATCCACAGGAATATATCCAAAGGCTGTCCTGTTTCAGAAAATCATGGAATACAGGGTTGGGGAAAGAGCACCAATGTGGAAGTAGGAAACTTGAGACCCCACATGCTTTTTTTTTTTTTTTTTCCTCCACTGAGGTAAGATTCACATAACACAAAATTCACCATTTTAACCACTTCAAAGTATACAATTAAGTGGCTTTTAGTACATTCACAGTGTTGTGCAATCATTAACACCATCTAATTCCAGGACATCACCCAGAAAGAAGCCCCATTAAGCAGTCACCCCCACCCCTTCCCCCCTTCCTCAGGGAAACCTGGCAACCACTCATCTGCTTTCTGTCTCTATTGACTTGCCTATTTCAGACATTTAATAAAAATGGAATCTTACAAGATGTGGTCTTTTGTAACTGACTTCTTTCTTTTCTTTTTGTTTTTTTGAGTGAAGAATTCAAAGTTTATTATAATTGGTATTTCTAAGTAGGCTTCCCAGTAATTTAAAAAAAAAAAAAAACATACAAAGATGAAGCTGCAAATCTCTTTTTAGGCAGAACAATGAGATTTTATTAATTTGTGTGGTTGTTATAACAAAGTTTAATTAATTTTCTGGTTGAATAATCTTTGGGAAACAATCTGACTTCTTTCACTTATCATAATGTGTTTAAGGTTTACTCCTGTTGTTGTAGCACATATCAGTCTTTTACTACTCATTATGGCGGAATAATATTCCATTGTGTGAATATACTATGGTTTGTTTATCCATTCATCAGCTGATGAGCAATTGGGTTGTTTTCTCTGTTTGGCTATTGTGAACAGTACTGCTATGACCATTCATGTACAAGTTTTTGTTTGGACATTTGTCTTTAATTCTTTAGGCATATGTCTAGTACAATTGCTGTGTCATATGGTGATTTTATGTTTAACAGTTTTTGGTTTTTTTTTAAGATTTTATTTCTTTGACAGAGCGAGAGAACACAAGTAGGCAGAGTGGCAGGCAGAGAGAGAGGGAGAAGCAGGCTCCCCGCTGAGCAGGGAGCCCAATGCGGGGCTCGATCCCAGGACCCTGGGATCACGACCTGAGCCGAAGACAGACACTTAACTGACTGAGCCACCAAGGTGCCCCTATGTTTAACAGTTTTAAGGAAACAGCAAACTTCTTTCTACAGTGGTACACCAGTTTACATTCATACCAACAATTTCTCCATAACTTCACCAATACTTGTGACTTATGGTGTTTTTGATTATAGGCATCCCCCTGGGTATAAAATGGTATCTCACTGTAGGTTTTATTTGAATTTCTCTGATGACTAATGACTCTGAGCATCTTTTTCTCTACTTGTTGGCCATTTGTATATCTTTGGAGATATGTCTAGTCATGTCCTTTGCCCATTTTTTAAATTGGATTGTCTTTTTGGTGTTCGGTTGTTATATATTCTGGATACTAGCCCATTATCAGATACATGGTAGGAAAATATTTTCTCCCATTCTGTAGGTTGTCTTTTTACTTCCTAGATAGTGTCTTTTAATGCAGAACAGCTTTTAATTTTGATAAAGTCTAATTTATCTATTTTTCCTTTTGTCATTTGTACTTTTGGTGTCATATTTAAGAAACCATTGCCAAATCTGAGATCATGGAGATTTACATCTGTGCTTTCTTCTAGGACTTTTATAAGTCTAGCTCTTGCATTTAGGTCTATGATCCATTTCACGCTAATTTTTTTATGATGTGAGGTAGGGATCCAATTTCATTTTTTTGCATGTGGGTATCTACTTGTCCCAACATCATTTCCTGAAAAAATTAGTCTTTGCCCACTGAATGGGTTTGGCAGCCTTGTTGAAAATCAGTTGACTATAGATGTATGGGTTTATATCTGGACTTTCAATTCTATCCCATTGATCTATAGGTCTACTCTTTTGCCAGTCCCCCCAATGCTCTTTTAGTCAACTTAATCCATTCTGCATCTCAGATTTCTCATATGTATGTATGTTTCAAGGAGGCAGATGCATGAATAACATTCTACAGTGCTTCCCTAATTCCCAGAATAAATGTTTTATTATGAACATTTTATTACTATTAAAAATCAAGAATGGTAAATTCTATAAACTATCTTCAATCCTTGTGGATAGAATTTAATAAAAACTTTTAAGTACGGATACTGTCAGTTTTTGTGGGGCATGAAATGACACAAAAGTGAAAATACCTCTGTAGTTTTAAGATACATAAGAAATGGGGCTGGTTTGGCAATAGAAGGGATGAATATCCACATTTTTGTTGATAACATTACTAAGAATCATAATGTATAGAATTGTTGAATCACTATATTGTATACCTAAAACTAATATAACACTGTATGTTAATTATACTGGAATTAAAATTAATACACCAAGAATCATGGAAATACATCTTTGACTTTCTAAATTTCTGTCTTATGATCTCTGGATGTTGTTACATTTTATGAGAATTATTGCAAAGATCTAGGCCTGACAAATCTAGGCATGGTAGGTAATGATTACAAAGCCTGTTTAGCTGCTTTATTCTTTCCAATAAATTTCTTCATAATCTGGACCCATATTATACACATAATTCGTGGTGCTCCCATCAGACACCTTATCAGCCACTCCTTGATAGCCCCCGCTCCTTGACCCAACACTGAACAAACCATGTTCATACCTGGCTTGGCATCCTCATTCATATTATTTCCCCAACCCTCTGGACAATTTTCAATCCAGAATAATGCTTCCCAAATTCTAGCCAATGGACAGGTTACATCAGAATCACCTGGGTACTCACTGATAATAAAGAGTATTCCAAAATCTACTCAGATCAATCAAACTAGAATATGAAAAGGGGAAAGGGACTTGGAGAGGAAAAGAAGTAAACAAAACACTCTGTAATTCTGATGCTGAGCAAAGGTAAAGGCTCTACTGGTGTCCTATTCAGGAGGCAGGTGATAAATGTAGCTATTACTCAAAGTTAGAGCCGGATTGTTTCAGAATAGGTGTGGGCATTGGAGTTAGAAGTCAAATCACACAGATGAATGGATAAAGAAGATGTGGTATATATACACAATGGAATATTATGCAACCATCAAAAGGAATGAGATCTTGCCATTTGCAACGACGTGGATGGAACTGGAGGGTATTATGTTGAGCGAAATAAGTCAAAAAGAGAAAGACATGTATCATATGATCTCACTGATATGAGGAATTCTTAATCGCAGGAAACAAACTGAGGGTTGCTGGAGTGGGGGGTGGGGTGGAAGGGATGGGGTGACTGGGTGATAGACACTGGGGAGGGTATGTGCTCTGGTAAGCGCTGTGAATTGTGCAAGACTGTTGAATCTCAGATCTGTACCTCTGAAACAAATAATGCAATATATGTTAAGAAAAAAAAAGAAGAAGGTAGCAGGAGGGGAAGAATGAAGCAGGGGAAATCGGAGGGGTCGACGAACCATGAGAGACGATCGACTCTGAAAAACAAACTGAGGGTTCTGGGGGGGAGGGGGGTGGGAGGATGGGTTGGCCTGGTGGTGGGTATTGAGGAGGGCACGTTCTGCATGGAGCACTGGGTGTTATGCACAAACAATGAATCATGGAACACTACATCTAAAACTAATGATGTAATGTATGGGGATTAACATAAGAATAAAAAAAAAAGATACAAAAAAAAAAAAAAAAGAAGTCGAGTCACAGATTGTTAGCCGTATAAAATCAGGTATGGATTGAGGCAAATAATTGTGTTCAGTAGGTATGAAACTAGGAAAGAAAGTTTTGGAATCCAGCTAATATTTTTGCAAAAACCAGAGGAAAGGGGTGCCTGGGTGGCTCAGTCTGTTAAGTGTCTGCCTTCGGGTCAGGTCATGATCCCAGGGTACCGGGCTCGAGTCCCACAGCGGGCTCCCTGCGCAGCAGAGAGCCTGTTTCTCCCTCTCCCTCTGTCACTCCCACTGCTTGTGCTCTCTCTCTCTCTCTCTGTCAAA